TCGGAGAAGACGACAGGCCTACAAAAAGAAATTTTTTCCAGCACTTGTCAACAAACGCTATGTCTACTATATTGGAACATAAACGGCGCGAGCACAAGCTCAGAAATTCTGGCGGTTAGTGTAGTAATAATCTGTATTAACGGCTAATGAAAGGTACCAGAAAGAGGAGCCAGCAGTCCGAGCTAGTGCCAAATTTTCGGCTTCTAATTTGAAAACTTAAAATCCAAAAATCGTCATTTTTAGGTGTCTAATTTTTTTAGTTTTCGATTTTTTTCTGTTTTCATTTTACTTTCCTCAACTGCATGCCTCTACTTGGTATCGTGATCTGGTTGGTTTATGCATGTTACCGCTTCTGAAGTCCAGAAGCGACGACATGCATAAACCGACCAGATACGGTACAAAGCAGAAGTATGTAGCTGTTTATTTCTTCGTGGGCTCATTCAGTAATGCTCGACGTCCATTGGTCACCAATAAAGCGAATCCCATCCAACCTATACCCCGACCGAATTGATAAGTTTTTCAAAGCATACCTCAAAGAACTGATAATAATGCGGTTGTTCAGTGAGCGCTGCCAACTCAGCACTCGAAACTGGACGATTGTTGCAATACTCCGAGTAAATGGCAAATTTCGAACGCTGAAAGTTAAAAACCGTACCAGATTAAAAAGTGCACTATCTTTGCGTAAACCTCAAATAATGAAAGACGGGGGAAGAGGAAGTGTTGTTAAAAAACACAAAAATTACTTTTTTAAATCGTAAAACGTTAGCCTAAATCTTTGCTGAGAAAAGGGGGTCATACATCCTGGTTTTTTGGAACTTCTAGGCATGAGGTGTGGTTTTAACCTAAAGAACCCTTGGTTCATTTCTCGTGGTTACATTCTTTCATTTGTTGGTGTCAAATGCTTTATAGAGATCGTGATTCGTTTCTCGTGATTGTTTTGATTAGTTGTGTGGTTATATTACCAAATTGGATTGTTTGGAAATTTTGGTGGATAATACAAAAGCTGTTTAAGCCTAGCGTGGCAAATGCTTACAGGTTGAAGCCAAAACTTATTTTTCTTGTCCGAGCGAAGGGAAAATTTCCAATAAAGGACAGAAGATTGGTGCATCAGCCGGGAAGATGTTGGTTCTCCGGCTAAAACACGAAGCAGCAGTAATGCAAGTGACTGGAAGGAGAAATAGTAGCAAAGAAATTACTGGTACAATGGAAGGCAAGCTGGTGGGTCGTGCAGTCCGGCGCTTATTAACGGCAAGGGCAGCACGCCATAGTGTTCGCGTAATATCAACATACGTGGGCATCCGGTATGAATATGCACAGTGACAGTGGTCGCGACATATTTGATAGTAGTGATAGCAGTAACGATAATGCTAGCAGAACAGTAATGATACGATTGGAGAATGGAAATCTATGGGGATGGTCACATGCAATTGGTACCGCTGGGAGTTGCGGATAGTTATACACAGCATGTAGATACCAGTCTTCTGGACCCGAATTTGGAAAAACGACAGTATGGATAACTGAAGAGAGCTGTTGATGTTCTAGTGATATTTTAAAGTAGTTTTTATGGCTCCTCTCCTTTGCAGTGTTGCGTAAGTCGCGAATAACGAAGGGCATTAAAAATGCTGAGTTGCTAGAAATTAAGGAGGTTGAAAAACAAACGTTACGAAGGAAGACTGTTCCGATGGCGGAGCTCTCGGGAATGCTCTGGTTGAATGCTAATTCAAGCTCACGCAAGAATTTACAATGCAATGCATAAATAGATTCAATGTTTCCAAAAAGTCGTTGCACACGTGCCGCCGGGAACAGATCGCTTCGACGACGGCATTGCTCAACAAAACCCTGAAAAACAGCGCATCATCTACAGTACTCCCTGATGAATGGGTGACAGTAATGGTTATGCGAGGGAAGCAGGTTTGTGTCTGGTGTGGAAGAAACCAGATCAATCACTTTTTTCATTTTTGTTTTCACGCCTGATACTTATATAAGGTATTAATTCATAACGTGCTTCTCCAATTGAGTATCTGACAACCCTTCTAGTTGCTTTGATCAATACTGCATCGTTTTGTGGTAAGCTCGCTGCCGATTCTGACGTCCGTTCCGTCTTCTTGATTCTCCCTTGTCAAATCGACCCACAAAACTGCGAATTTCCGAATAGTCCAGTTCAGCTTATGTACGCTTGGAAAAAAGATACTAAGAAACTGGGACTAATACAAAGAAAAAAATTCTAATCGGAAAAATGGAAAAAATCGGACTACAAAATGACTAGAAAATTGAATTAAAACTGGAGAACCTCAAATTAGACTGCAAGCCGTTAAGTCAAAAAGAAAAATCAGAACTCTGAAGCTGTCAAAAATAGAAAGTAAGCCCGTTTAGTGCGAGAAATGTCAAACTCATAGCGCCCCAGGCTTCCAACTGCGAACACACCAATAATCAAAGCCGCCTGAACCATCAGCATGGGTAACCATGTCGGCGATTTTGTTGAGATCCTACATCGGAGACCTTTAATACTGCAGTAAAGATTTTTGAAAGAATTCGAGAAAAAAACTGCACTTACTTGAACAATATTCTGCAGCAAGTTGACGTAATCACGCTCGGTCTGCATCAATTCCTGGACAATTTTCGCACGCAGGAATCGCATCGACTGAGGGAAATAACTCGACGGTATCGATTCCGAGCTTGCGGTACTGCCGTTCAGTACCTAAATTTGTTTTCTGGTATTACTTAACAGCATAAGATGAAACACGCTGGTTTTATGGGAAAGTGGGAGCAAAACTCGAACATGCCAGTCGAACTGACCCTAACATATGATGACGGAAACCAGCCGGTTCTTTCGCGACAGCTACCGTACCACAGTTCCGCATGCGAGGAATAGTCCAGTACCGAGACGATGTCACCGATCGCAAATGGTAATTCATCGGGCAGGATCGCAACGTGATCCCAGACTGCTTCAGCCGACAACAAACACTACAAAACAAATTTCAAAGAGACCGTGGACCAGAAAGGCCAATAACGCATTGTGATTATTATTATCAATATTCTGCAAATAAAAATCAGCTGTCTTGCGGTAAACCTGAGATTAAATTTAACTAAGGTTATCCAGCCATCTGGAACTCCAATCTCATCCCCAGCTACTTTAGCCATTAAAAACGCTTTCACTTGAAATATGCCTTATTCTTCAAATATCGTTCGGAAATTTCATGAGTTTTTATGCGTTTTTTGCAGTAATGCAATGCAAAAAACGCATATTGACGAGAGGTTGTCTG